GAAGTGTTTCGGCCAATGAGATCTCTTTATCTGGGTCTCATTTTGATGGTGAGAATTCAATCCTTGATTGAAACTTCATCTCCAACTTCAGCTCTTACTATATATAGCTTTGGAACTTCATCTCCAACTTTAGCTCTTACTATTTATAGTTTTGGAACTTCATCTCCAACTTCAGCTCTTACTATATATAGCTTGATGAGACATCATCTCTTTGACTTTGACTTGCAAACTGCATCTCTAACTTCATCTCATACTTTATATTGACTTGACTAATGATGACTTGACTTTGCAAACCGCATCTCTAACTTCATCTCCATTTTGAAACTGCCTTTGAAACCTCTGCTCCAACTTAGTCTCGAAACCTCTTTTGAAACCTCAGCTTCTTAAACCTCTTTTGAAACCTCAGCTCCAACCGCTGCTCTTACCTTGTCTCCAAGTTCTATTATTTAATTGATTTCGAAACCTCTTCTCCAACTTCACAACCTCTTTTGAAACCTCAGCTCCTACTTCATCTCCTTCTTAGTTTCGAATTACTTGAATTAATTTCGAAACCTCCTACTTCATCTCCTTCGTAGTTTTGAATTACTTGAATTAATTTCGAAACCTCTTTTCCAACTTCACTTAAATTGATTTCGAAACCTCTTTTGAAACCTTAGCTCCTACTTCATCTCCTTCTTAGTTTCGAATACCTCAGCTCTGATTTAAGGCTTCTTTATAACCTGAGACCTTGCAGTTTATACATCAAGCTTTCATCCATCTCGGTTGTACGGATTATTGGTTATTATAGCATTCCTCTTGATGTACTTCTTTCTTTCCATAGATGCTTGATCTTCAAGATAACTTAATGAATTTTGGTTTGCTTCTCGTTTCTTCGTATGAGTTTCATCAGTATGACTTCTTACTTGAGTTGGGCGTGTGGGCTTATTTTAGTATACATATTATATGCATACATCTTCTTCTTCGTATTTTTCCCTTTCTTCATATTTGTCAATTTTCCTTTCATGGTCTATGACACGCCTAGACTTAACAAATAAAATTGGGGATTCTAAAATACAATTTGGCATATCAAAACTATTACAATATATTCCTAACACCCATGTCTCAACAAAACCTCTTTTCTTCGCTATAATCTCCTTCCTTGGCCTCGTTCTATATGCTTGTGTCTTGATGAATTCCTCTATGCTATTTGTGATATATTCTTGATGATTGATAAGATGATTTATGTGTATTCTTGATAATCTTGATGATCTTGATGTTGAAAAGAGGTTCTTGATATTGATGTGATGATTGTTGACGAATCATGATAATTCTTGATAAAATATGGTTTTGATGATTTGGGTGGGATTAGACCCCTAGGTTGGACTGGGAATTTGTGTTAGGATGTTCTTGATATATATTTGGGTGGGAATTCGCATGTTCGGGTGTTGTTTATGTTTAGAAGTTGTAATAGGATGAGTTCTTTGTGATTCTTGCTTTTGATCCATTAATTGCTTACGTGTTGTTAGTAATTGCGTTTTAAAGTGTCCAAGCATGGTTTCGGGTTCCACGAAGGTCCCCGGGACGAAATTATGGTAAAAGAGTCAGTGGGGTGTAGGTGGGGGTGGGGGAACCCGCTGCCCAGATATCACCGCCGGGCAGCGGGTAGCCGCCGGGCAGTTGTCTGTCCGCCGGCAACCTGCTGCCAGAACAGTGAATTCCGGCGGGCAGCCGGCGGGTGGCCCCCACCCACCGGCTACCCGCTGGACCCTACCCCACCCCGGGTCTTCGGCTTCCCCGTTTGATGTTCCCCACTCCCCATGGTGTCCCAACGGACCCCGTTTGTCATGCCCAAGTCTAGTTTGATATTTCGGTTACCGTTCGTAGGATATATAAGTCTTAGGAATTGCATGTTAGTTAAATTGGTAACCCGTTGACCTAGGTGGAAGTTATATGAACCATTAGGGCTATTTTTAGTATAGATGATCACACGTAAGTTTATTTATTTGTCTTTCCCTTCCCTATGTGCTACTACGTGCTACTATGTGTTATGTGATGCATGATGCCCCAATTTGGTTGCGATCAAATGGGATGTTTCTGAGCTGCGGTTCAGAAGTTGGCTGCGGTCAAATTGGTTACTTATGAGCTGCGGTTCATTCTCCTGGCTGCGGTCAGTGATTCACTTCTTGGGATGCGGTCCACATGGGCCTCGGTACTATGACCCACCAGACCTGAACGCGCCAGGATGCTGTGTAGGGCCAATAAGCCGAGGAAGGCTGTAGTCCACCGATCCGAGTAATCGGGCGGTCTGTAGGGCTACGGCTGGCTGCGACCCACCGGGTGATGGGACGACGGTGTGTAGGGCCATAGTCTCCGAGGATCTTCGCCCACCGAATGAGTATAGCTCCACAGTGTGTCGAGCTTGATCCGCTATGGTCCACCGGATGTACCCATTGGCGGTGTGTAGGGTCGTAAGTCCCCCCCTGCAAAGGGGATCGCGGTCTACCGACTGGGTGCGTCAGCGGTGTGTCGGATCGTGATCCAACGTTGAGTTCATCAGCGGTTCTCAAAGGGTTGGTTGCGATCAACTCCCCTCATATCGTGGTACTGAGGTAGGGTGCTGCGGGGCCGTGTTAATGCTATAAGCATTAACCCTCATGTTCGAGGCATGCGATTGGTCCCGTAGCGCCATCGATGATTATGTGATATAAATGGTGATGATGTGGTTGGAATTGGAGAATGATCTGTGACCTTAGATGCGTATCCCTTATGATGTTAGCTCTACTTAACTGTTTATTATTGTTTGATGTGCTTGTCCCTATTTGCTGAGTCTATTCCCGGCTTTTAAAATTAGTGTCTCTTAAGTATATATCTTCCTGCTTCAAAATGGTTTTCGTATATCTATATATATATATCTATCTATAATATATTTCAACGCGTTGGAGTGGGTTACCAACATCTCTCGCTGAACATATATATTTGGCTTTCAGGCACAGACGAGTAAACACTGGAGCGCGCTAGAGATTTGGAGCATAGAGTAGTTAGTTTCCCTTTCGGCCTGCGTGCCATACTTATGTATTGACATTATTGTGGATTTTAGATAGTTAGCCTGTGCACCTGGGTTCTCTAGCTCAGGTGTGGCATAGCACCCCATGCTCTTATGTTATAATTCAGGATTTAATGAGGATTTATCATTATTATACAAGTTTTAAAAAGTTCCAAAATTTCGGGGTGTTACAGAGTTGCCGCATAGTCCACTTCCGGGAAACTGCAAAAGAAAACAGAATGCGTACTGTAGTCGGCTTGACTACTGGACTAAAGGTTTGAAAGAAGTCCTCTCCGGCGACTTGGTTGAAACCCTTAGCAACGAGGCGCGCTTTGTAGCGCTCAACTGAGCCATCGACTTTCCGCTTGGTGCGAAAGACCCACTTGCACCCGATAACATTCATGTTGGGTGTTGGTGGGACCAGTCGCCATATGTCATTATGTAGCAAAGCGTTGAACTCTCGGTCCATGGCATCACGCCACTGTGGGTGACTAACTGCTTGAGTGTAACAAGTGGGGTCAGCAGCAACATTTGCTACGGCTAGAGCCTGAAATTGTTCGCCGGTGCCGTGAGTCATAAGGCGCAACCGCATCACATGACCTCGTTGAGGTGGTTTACTTATTGGAGGCCGCTTACGGGTTACCCGAACAGGAGCAGATGGGCACGTTTGGACACTGGGTCCAGCTGGTGGAGCGCTATATTGAACCCCTTGCATGACAGGACAGGTAGCCCAAGGTACATCTTGTGCTGCTGGTGCGGTTGTTTCATACACAGTGGGATCAGTGGCAAAGGGGAAAACAGCCTCATCAAAACGCACATGGCGACAGATGTAGGTCTTTCCCGTGTTTAGGTCCATGCATCGGTAACCTCTAAAGGATGACGGATAGCCTAAAAAGACACACGAGGCTGAGCGATACTCTATCTTGTGCCGATTATATGGCCGTAGATAGGGAAAGCATAAGCACCCAAAGACCCGTAGGAAAGTGTATGTGGGCGGAGTTTTATAGAGGCGGTAGTATGGAGTATCAAACTGTAGGGCTGACGAGGGGAGACGGTTGATTAAGTATGTAGCTGTTTCGAATGCAGAATCCCAATGCCGTAACGGGACTAAGCCTTCGGCTAGTAGAGCTAGGCCCATCTCGACAATGCGACGGTGTCGGCATTCTACCCGGCCATTTTGTTCATTCGTATAGGCACATGATTGCCTGTGCAATATTCCTAATTTGTCAAAGATAGCATGCAAATGGCGGTATGCGCCACCTAAGTCAAACCGAATGGACTTAATAGAACGTGAAAACAAACATTCTACCATCGTCCGAAAAAGCTCAAAAACCTTATAAATATCAGTTTTGAGTTACAGAGGATAATACCGACAATAGCGGGTATGATCGTCTATAAAAAGAACGAAATAACGAAAACCCCCCGCAGAAACAACGGGTGCGGGGCCCCAAATATCAGTATATAGAAGATCTAACACATTGCTACTAGAATGAACAACTCTATCTAAAGGAAAATGCGAGGTTTTTCCAAGCTGACAGGACGAACAAATGGTCGAGTCACTCGATTTATTTGTAGAAACTGGGCAATTATGCATAACTCGCTGAAGAGCTTGATTATGAGGATGACCCAATCGGCGATGCCACACTTGAGAGGACGCCCGAGCTGTTATGAATCCAAAATGTGACCGCGGGATGGAAAGTGTGTACAACCCCCCGGAGCTAGGTCCTTTAAGCAGAATTGTTTTGGTGATGCAATCCTTGACAAAAAAAAAATTTGGATGGAATTCAAAGAAACAATTATTATCGTTAGTAAATTTGTTAACCGATAATAATGAAACTGACAAATCTGGAACATGTAAGATATTAGATACTCGTAAAGATTTAGATACGAATGGAATGATAGCATGACCAACATGGGCAACACCTAGACCTGTGCCATTACCCAAGCGTAAGACGTCCGAACTGGTGTACTCCTCGGATTAACTCATCATCCTAGCATCCGGCGTCGCATGAGACGTGGCCCCGGTATCCGGATACCACGGAGCCATATCTGTCGCGGAATCAGCAGTAACAGCCACATTGGCTTGTGGCGGCGACGGTGGTGCGTCGGAGTAGCGGCGATAGCAGTGCAAGGCAGAATGACCATTCGCACGGCAAATCTGGCAGCGCAGCCCTCCTCGGCCACGCCCTCCGCGGTTCTGTCCTCCACGATATCCACCTCTGTTCTCTCCGCCACAAGAGTTCCGGCCACCTCCATGACCGGACTGTCCGCGACTCCTACCAGCATACATAGTCGACGGTGATCCAGTCGGCAGTCTCGCTATTCCAGTAGGAATTTCATCCGAATGGATGAATTGTTGTGCCTGAATGTAATCAGCCAATTGAGGAATTGAAACCGCATTACCCGAAACAACGAGGGTGGCGGTCATTGCCCAGAACTCCGGGCGCAATCCTTTGAAAACATATAGGTTTTGCTCTTCTAACGACATTGGCCGGCCGGCAAGAGCAAGGTTCTCCACCAACTGTTGAGCTTGGCCGAGATACTCTGATGGTGATAAATCGCCTTGACGCAGAGATTGAAACTGCCCCAACAAATTGAGGCATCTCACGCGTGTGGATGATCCGAGAGCAGTCTCAATGGCGCGCCATACTCCTCGAGAAGTCGTCTGACCCACTGCTAAATACATTACCTCCTCCGATAAGGAGGAAATTAATAAGGATAAAATAGATTGGTCCTATTGGACCCAGGCTCCGTATGCCAGATTCACTGTGGATGACGCAACTTCATCGTTGGTCGCATCAGGGGATGGCTGGATGATCGGCGCCGGGCAAGCGATGTAGCCTTCCACATACCCGATCAGGCCTTGGCCACGGAGAAAAGGCACGATCTGAGTCCTCCAGAAAAGGTAGTTGCGGGAGTTGAGTTTGAGTGAAACAAAGTGATGGGCGGAATTGAGGGAGGTTGGGGTTGCCGGCGTAGGAATGGTGGTGGCCGTGAGTGTTCTTTCGGAGCCTGAGGTTGTCATTGTCCACGGGAAAACGGAGAGGGAGAGAGAGTTTTGGGAGACTGGCTAACTGATACCAGATGAGTTTAGGAATTATGTTATTCATTGACAAAGCGATAAGATTTACATAATATACTATCAGTAGATAGTTCCTATACAGAAGGCTACTGAAGAGGTCTACACAACTAACATTTGGCTAATAATAATAATATATGCTAATACCCGAAACCACCCGCTGGAACCTCCCACTGGTACAATGTTGGTTGGCTTCCGTTTTATTGTTCCATTGTGTATTTGCGTGTATTTATTAATATCTCGAAAGTCTAGAGCGATATATTATAAATCTAATGGTTAGGATTTGGAGTTTTGAATCTTAATTAATATCATATATTGCTATTCGTTGGATTATTCGATGAAGTTGATGATGTTCGTATGTATCCTTGTGATTACTCTTTGGTTGTGTATTAGCATGTCGTTCCTTGATGCTAGTATGGTTTCCTTCTGATAAACTTCGCTTACTTCTTGATTGAAATGGTAACTTGAGCATACATATTCGTCGTAATCTTTGGTTGGAATCATTTGATATCGTTGTGTTGCCTTTGGAATGTCTTTCTCGTATCTCATTCTTGAATTCCATTGAGTTTGGATTATCGTTATAAGCTTGTATCATCGTGGTGCCTATCTTGATGTGTAACACCCCGAAATTTTAAAACTTTTGAAGACAATATAATAACGGTAAATGATCATAAATCCCAAAATACGTTTATAAGGACACGGGGTGTTATGCCACACCTGAGCTAGAGAACTCAGGTGCACAGGCTAAGTTCTAACAATATCAATCAGTATCAATACAAATCATGGCACGCAGGCCGAAAGGGGAGAACTATCTAAACTACGTCCCAACCTCTAGCGCGCTCCAGTGATCTACTCGTCTGTGCCTGAAAGTCAAATATATCTGTTCAGCGAGAGATGCTGGTAACCCACTCCAACGCGTTGAAATATAATACATATAGAGATATATATAGATATACGAAAACCATTTTGAACATGAAGATATATCCTACGAACTCTAACTTTTAAAACAGGGATAGATTCGACACATAGAGCTAAGCACAAACGGCAGTTATAGCAAGCATATATAGTTCGCAACAGGCAAGGCAGATAAGGCTAAGCATAATCAATAATCATAACCCAACATAAAATATCCCCAACGTAAATCCCGTCGTCACATCGCCAAGATACTCATAATCACAACTCATCCATATCTCATCACATAAGCACACTATGTTGGCGCCACAGGACCAATCGCATGCCCATACATGAGGGTCAGCGCATATAGCTCTGACACGGCCCCGCAGCACCCTGCCCCGTCTCACAATACGGAGGGGTCGATCGCAACCGACCGATGAATCGCAGCTCATCATAGTTTGATCGCAACCAAACAGTGGACCGCAGCCCAAGAGTATGTCATCTGACCGCAGCCAGGAAAATGAACCGCAGCTCAGGTAGAACGGTGGACCGCAGCCCTATATAATATTTATATACCTGACCGATCGCAACCGGCCTGGTTAACAGTCAGTATGGTTCTCAACCCTTCCGACTGCCCGTATAATCCATTTGATCGCAACCAAACGGTGGACCGCAGCCCTATATAATATTTATATACCTGACCGATCGCAACCGGCCTGGTTAACAGTCAATATGGTTCTCAACCCATCCAACTGCCCGTATAGCCAATTTGATCGCAACCAAATTGGGGTATCATGCACACATAACACACAGCAAGCACATACAACCCACATTAGCACATTAGGAAGGGGCAGAAAATGTATAACAAAACCTATGCGTGATCCTTCACATACTAAGAATAATCCTAAGGGGTTCATACTTCTTTCACCTAGGTCAACGGGATACAAATTCAACTAGCATGCAATATATAAGACTCATACAACCTACGAGCGGTACCCGAAATATCAAACTAGACATAGGCACGATAGACGGAGTCTGTTGGGACACCACGGGGGTCGGGGGAACATCAAACGGGGAAGCCAAGATCCCGAATTGGGGTGCAAACCAGCGGGTAGCCGGTGGGTGAGGGTTCACCCGCCGGCTGCCCGCCGCCGTTACTGTTCCGGGCAGCGAGTGCCCGGCGGGCAGCTGCCCGCTGCCGGGACTGCCTATCTTGACCACGGGTAGGTGGCGGGTCCCCTACCCCCACCTAACCCCCACTGACTCTTTTTCATCAATTAACGCCCCGGGATCCTTTGTGGAACCCGAAACCATGCTTAGACACTTTCAAACGCAATTGATAACACACGTAGACAATTAACGGATCAAAATCAAGAAACATACGGCACATAACCTATCATGCTTTTCTAAACATAATTAACACCCGAGCATGCGATTTCCCACCCAATACACCAAGAGTAATATCATACGATACAACCTAGGGTTCTAATCACTTTTAAATCATCAAGGACACAATTCATCTTCTAATATCAAGATTCGGTAAGAATATCACATAAACACCAAGAACATCCTACAATCATCAAGAACATCATATAATCATCAAGAACGTCATATAATCATCAAGAACGTCATATAATCATCAAGAACACCATAATTATCAAGAACCTCTCATCATCAAGATCACCCATGGAATCATCACTCCAATCGTCAATAATAATATCACAAATCATCAATAAACAATAATATGGGGAAGTCCTAAGAGGGGAATCATAGCTATAAAAATAGGTTTTGTTGAGACATGGGTTACCTCTTAGCCTTAATTGATTCCTTGGCTATGAAGGGTCTTTCTTTAAGTTTTCTTCTTTCTTGATTTCTCCTAGGGGAATTCTTGGAATTCTTGGTGTGGTGAGAGATTATTGTGGTGGGAGTTCTAGGTGCCTCCTTATGTTCCCTATTTATATATCTAAGAGTCTTACTTAGGGCCTAATTACTATCGGTTTGCTAACTCTATTCCTTTTAGGACTAAGGAGTGGGTTTAGGGATAAGGGCCCATAGACTATGGTGGGCCTCTCCTAATTAATTATTGTGATTTAATTCTTTCTTTTGGGTAATTGGTTTTAGGGATCGTAACACGGGGTGTTACACTCTCCCCCCCTTACAAGGGGCTTCGTCCCCGAAGCCCGGTGTGTTAATCCATTCTTTCACCCCTAGGCATCTCGCATCTTGGCCTCCCGGTTAGGAATGTGGCCCCACGTTTTGCCTTAGCTGGGGTAGGCTGGACTTCTGGTGGTGTCGTGATAGGAGGGTTTACCTCGGTCTCCTGCTCCTGAGCTGGACGCCCCGCGAGTACCCAGGGTGGCCTCGATCGCTGCCACCCTCTGATCTAGTGCGCGTGTCGTACGGATCAAGGATGAGAACCCTTCCTCCCTGATTTGGTTCTGCCGATTGAGTTGTGCGACTATGCGCTCATTGACCGAGCCCTCGTTTTGTTCCCTTGGGTTCCCTCCCGATCGTGGTGCACCGATGGGTTAGGCTCGTCATCCTCCTCCTGTTCCTCATTTCCCTTCAAACCCCCACAATCTTGCATCGCTCGTTTGAGCTTCTTGTTGGAGATGTCCAATCCGTCGACCAATTCCCTTCGCTCTTCCTCGGGTTTAAGGCAAATTTCTTCGAGGGTGAGGTGAAGTCCCCCTTCGGTGTAGTAGATATCGTTGCGGCGGAGGTTTTGGGCATTAAAAACCATGCCATTTGCGGTTTTAACCTCGGTTTGGCTTAGGTCTACCCCCTTCTTCTCCATGATCCAACTTAGGATCATCCTGTAGGGTAGGCTAAGCCGGTTGTTTGTCTTGCAAAACTCCATGTGTTGTAGCATGAGGGCCGGCAGGTTGAACTTGATTTTATGTTTCAAGAGGTAGGCAAAGGCGCACTCTAAGCTTTATCACCCTGTTTGGTTACTACTAGATGTTGGTAGAATTCTTTCACCAATTCGGGGTACGTATCCCCCCTTGATGGCGAGATACGTATCCAAAAGCCCTTGGTGTTTAAGCATATCAACCAATTCCGGAGAGAATTGGTCGGGTTCGAGGGCTTTACCTCCGATCACGGTGTAATCGGCGTTGTTCCATTCCGAGGTGCGGGTTCCGAGGGGCTTTTTCGGCATCGTGAAGCTTTTCTTGGTCGTGAAATTATCCGGTGAACTTTTTCGGTGATTTTCCGGCGAGACGGCGGTGGAGCTCCGACACGTTTTTTTTTTTCCGGCGAGGCCCTTGGCGGCGCGGCGTTGCGAGGGATGTGGCGGTTAGGTAGGTTCGGGGGTCGGCGCGACGAGGGGGCGACGGCGTGGCAGTGGCGTTGGGCAGCGGCAGCGGGTTGCAGCTGGGTGGTGGTTGGGTGTGGCGTGGGTGACCTCCGGGCGAAGGTGATTGGGCGATGGTGCGTCGGTGTGGGACTGGCGGGAGGCGGGAGGCCGGTAGCTTAGCGCCTGTACCTTTAGATTGTGTTCTTGTGGCCTGCGTGCCAATGGTGTTAGACTGTTTGTAGTTTGATGTTTTGGGATAGTGATACACTTGCAGATTGTTCGCCTTAGCGTTTACTGGGTGTGGTAGACGTGGCATAACACCCCTGCTTTGGATTTCTTTTATCCAGTTTCCGTTTTCTTCCGTTGTGCTAGTGTTTGTGGTAATCTGCATGTGTTAAGACTTGTTTTTAGGTCTTGTTTTTGGGGGGTGTTACAAAAGTTATTGTGGTGTGTATTCTAGGTGCCTCCTATGCCCCTATTTATATATCTAAGAGTCCCAATTAGGGTCTAAATGGTATGGGTTTGCTAATTCTATTCCTTATAGGACTAAAGTGTTGGTTTTAGGTATAAGGGTCCATGGACTATGGTGGACCCTTCTTAATTAATTGATGGAATTTAATTCTTTCTTTTGGGTGATTGATTAAATAATTAATTGGTTTAGAGGTCGTAACATGGGGTGTTACACTCTCCCCCCCTTAACGGGAAGCTTCGTCCCCGAAGCTTTGGTTTTGCTGAGTTGACCTTCTTCCCTTATTTTATGCTTTCGTCTTGGTTACCTTGTGTGAAGAGTTCTGGGAAGCGTTCCTTCATGTTGTCTTTGAGTTTCCATGTTTCCTCTTTGGCACCGTGGTTGGTCCAGAGGATTTTTACCATTTCTATGGTTCGTTGGCGAGTGGTTTTTGTCTTGGTGTCCAGAATCCTTACCGGTTTCTCTTCGTAGGTTAGTGAGTCGTCCAGGTCCACGGCCTCAGGTTGTAGCACATGACTTGGATCTTGTATATATTTCTTTGGTTGGGATATGTGGAATACGTTGTGTACTCACTCCAGTTCGGTGGGTAGGGCGAGGCGGTAGGCCAGGTCCCCGACTTTTTCTATAATTTCGTAAGGACTGATGAATCAGGGGCTGAATTTCCCCTTTCTTCCGAACCACATCACTCCTCGAGTGGGTGAGATTCTTAGCCAGACCTATTCCCATGTGGAGAACTCGGCTTGCTTCCTCCCAATGTCGGCGTAGGATTTTTGTCGGTCCTGGGCGGCCTTCATTCTTTCTTGTATGTATGTGACTTTAGTAATGGTGTCTTGTAGGTATTGGGCCCCCAGTGCCACTGGGCTGACCAGGTCTTCCCAGCATAAGGGTGTCCTGCATTTTTTACCGTACAGTGCTTCGTAGGGAGCCATGCGGATGCTTGTGTGGTGGCTGTTGTTGTAAGAGAATTCGATGAGGTCCAGGTGTTCTTCCCACCTCCCTTGGAAGTCTAACATGCAGGCTCTTAGCATGCCTTCAAGAGTTTGAACGGTTCTCTCGGTTTGACCGTCGGTGGTGGGATGTAAGGCAGTGCTTAGGCTCAGCCGCGTCCCCATGGCTGTTTGTAGAGACTTCCAGAATTGTGAGAGGAACCTGGGATCTCTATCGGACACGATGTTTTGGGGGACTCCATGGTACTTCACCACTCGGTTTATGTAGGCCTTAGCTAGTTGTGTCATCGTCCATGTCCAAGATCACTTGTATTCCATCCAGCCTGAATTGTATCAGGTTTCCAGGGAATTCCACCCCTTCGATGGTGATCATTATATCTTTGTGCATGCGGTCACGTTTTATGACTTCGCTGGATGCCACCTTGACTTGCAGTTGTAATCTGGTGTTGGTGTTCAAGCCGAGTTGCAAGGCGAATTCGGCTGCTATGAATGAGTTGGAGGCCCTTGAGTCAAACAGTACAGTGGCACGGGCGGCGTGTACGTGGAAGGTTCCGGAGACTACGTTGTCATCTCCGATTCTGGACTTGCTCATGGTAAGGATCCTTCCCGGAGTGTTTACCGTTCCCCTTGTGGGAGCCGGTGTTAAGGCTTTGTGGGGCGAGGTAGCCCTGGCAGTCTTTGGTTTTCGAGGGGGGTGGGGTGTGTTATTTTCTTCGATTTTTCTCTTGTGCCCTAGATGTGTTTCTTGTGGGTCGCTCGGTATTTGTTGTAGCTGGAATGCCTTGGCATAGGCTTCTTCGAGAGTTCTTGGTTTGCGTAGGGCTAGGGCCTTTCCGGCTTTCGAGGTCGAGGCCCGTCATAAATTTCTCGATCTTGGTTGACTCTGTAGGTACTAGCTCGGGTGTGAGGCGAGCTAGTTTGAGGAACTGTTGGTAATACTCTGTGATTGGGGTTGCTCCCTGTTTTAGGTGTAGGAATTCTTCGTATATGGCTGCCCTTATGTGACTAGGGTAGAACCGCTCCCGTAAATGCTCTTTTAGGGCCTCCCAGTTGAATCCGGGTTTTTGCTTGTAGCTGGGTCCATTGTGGGCCCACCAGAGGTCAGCCTCGTGTTTGAGGTAGAAGGATGCCGTTTCTACTTGGAGGCCTTCTGGGCACCCTACTGCTTTGAATATTTTGTCAAAAGTTCTGATCCATTCCTCGAGAATTGTGGGGTCTTCCTCCCCTGAGAAGGTAGGCGGTCGGTGTTTGGAGACTTGGCGGTCTACTTCTGAGTTTCTATTTGGTGGTGGTGGTTGTAGGATTGTGTTGCTCAATGTCTGAGCAACTTGGGCAAGATGCTGCAGATTCCGAATCAAGGATTCATGCGTGGAAAGTCTTGGTGTCCTTGCCTGTTTCCTTGTTGGTGCCATCCTGGGGTTTACAGGCCGATATTATTTTGCATCCTTACCCTGATGCCATAAGTGTAGGGGGAGTTCTTTAAATTAAGTGTGAATTAGTGTGAGGGGAAGGTTAGGGGCTCACAATCTCACCGCGTGTCCTAAGATTCCTGGATCCTAAGTTTCTAAATACCTAGAGTCCAAGCCTAATGTCCTAAAGTTTCGTCTTGAAAGTCTAATCATAGGGTCAAACTTAAGCTCTGATACCATCTGTAACACCCCGAAATTTTAAAACTTTTCAATCTTATAATATGAAAGCAATTCTATTAAATAAATCCCAAATGGAGCATTCTAAACATAAGTGTGCGGGGTGCTATGCCACATCTGAGCTGGAGAACTCATATGCATAGGCTAAACGAACTAAATATCCTCCATACATCATCATGGCACGCAAGACGAAAGGAAAAACTATCTATTTAACCCAAGATCTTCTAGCGCGCTCCAGAGCTAATCATCTGTGCCTGAAAGCCAAATATATCTGTTCAGCGAATGATGCTGGTAACCCACTCCAACACATTAAAATACAATATAGTTATATATATATATACGTATATATATATATATATATATATATATATATTGGAAAATCATTTTGAAGCAGGAAGATATATACTTAGGAGACTCTAGCTTTAAAAACCAAGAATAGACTCGACATGTAGGGATAACACATTAAACAGTGATAATCAATTATATAGAGATAATCATCATAAAAACATGTATCTAAGGTCACAGTTCACTTTCAAATCATTCACATCATCATTCAATCATCATCTTTATCACACAAGCACACTTTGGTGGCGCCACGGGACCAATCGCATGCCCCAAACATGAGGGTTAGCGCATATAGCTCTAACACGGTTGTTGGACAATTTTTAATTAAATGTCCTCGCAAGTGCACGAGTCACTGTAGTAATAGGGTGCAATAGCAAGGGTCGAACCCAAGAGGAATTGATAATATGCAATTTATAATCTTAAAATTAATTAACTTGATAATTTTAACATGCTAGAAACGAATATCAAATATAAGAATCAACTCAATTGCAAAACAATTAAAATCAATGCTTCAAAAGCTAAAAATTGAGTAATTGAAAAGCTAATCAGAATGAACAAGAAATTGCTACTGACAATTAAACAAAGTTTAGTTAAAATGTAAAGTACTAATTACGAGTGCAGAAAGTGGTAATTAAAGCTTAGAAATTTGGCATAAAAAACTAACAGTTAACACTACCAGCTTCATTATCAATGGTAATCTCAATTAACAACCGTACTTAAACCTTCAGCATTATAATTAACAAAATACTTAGCATTAAGCACTGTGATCAAGACTTGTTATTAAATATGCAATTAAGCTCTACATTCAAAGTTTTGAATTAAGAGATTTCCAATCACAAATAAAGAGCAGATTAAGGAAAAGAATGGGAGCAGATGAAATCAATACTTTAACTCTTACTTAGCATTAAGCATGGTAATTAGCACATGGTAATTTGCACTATCACTTAAATAGTCTGTAGTTAACAAATGAAAATAAAGGCTAACTTTGTTGCTAACAATTACGAAACCAATACGCCCAGATTAAGGAAAAAGAAATAAAGAAAGAAGGAAAATAAAGAAAGAACCAGTATATGGAATTGAATGCGCTCAAACTAAACTCCTTTCGCTGCAAACCAGAGTTCGCCGACCAGAATTGCGGCGAACCACTAGAAATCCCGAAATCTCCGAACGGCCGTTGGGTGAAGAGTTTTGGGGATTAGATTGGTGATGAAGAATGGTGATGATGACGAATGAATTTTGTGTAGGTCGGTGCTCCCCTGGCTTCTTCGGAATTGCTTCTATTTATATTGTCTGGACTCAACGATTTCTTCCAATCTTCCGCTATTCATTCGGATCGCCGGAAGAATTGATTTGCAAAATATGGTTCTGGTCTTCTAGGAGCTTTGCGCCTTTCTCTCGTAGGAATTGACTAGCTAATATAATCTATCTATTAAATACTAATAATAATAATAATAATAATAATAATAATAATAATAATCTACAGGCAATAAACTATTAAACTGACAATTATAATAATAAAACAAACTTAATAACAAAAACAACCCAAAATTAAACAATATTAGTAAAGCTAAAAAAATATAAAATTAATAAATAAAATTGATATAAAATAAATAAATTATTGCAACTTAACTATTAAAGATTATTTAAAATAATAATAAAAATAATGTTTATCAAATCTCCCCACACTTATTTATTTGCTTGTCCTCAAGCAAAGATATTATTAAAAGAAAATATAAAGAAAATAAAAATAAAATAAAAATAAAAATAAAAATAAAATCAAGTATTAGAACGAACTTTATCCAAATAGACTTTCAAATTTATTTGCCTCATCAATGCAAAATAAATGTCAACTCAAAGAATGCATAAAACAATTGACTAAAAATTAAAACCTTTAGCAGCTAAAATAGATATAAATTTTTGCTCGTGTGCTAATACCCTTATATGAGCTACACAAAAACTCAATAGAAAAATATGAAAACTTCACAAAATACAACCCAAGCCAAATTCAGCAATATTCTATCATAGTGCAGGTGCAAAACGTGAAGGAAACAAGGATCAATGCATTTATTAAAAATTAAAACGCAATTGCTCGTCTCTTCCAAAGTTCACTCGTTATTTTTCGATTTTGACTTTTTCCAAAGAGAATTTCCCAAAAACCTCGCCATTTTACGCCAGACTTGTTTGGGTTTTCAATTTTGTGTGTACTCATAAACCAGACCACAACACTTATTGATTTATTTATTATACATGTGTATAGGTGTCTGATTCAGCGGAGTAGAATCTCTTAAATTGTTGAAAATAGAATAAATAAAACACTCATTTATATTTTTTTAAAAATGTTCTTTTTATAATCTTTTCTTTTCACCTCACTTATGCCATACAGATGATCCTTGAACCAACACTACACCACAATTTACAGCACTCAAAAATTATTTAAGAATTTGAAAAAGGTAATACAAAGTGAAATCAACATATAGATTATTAAAGAAATTGTATAGAACATATAAGTGTATTTGTGATTTTCATATTCTATTTATTTTTTTTTTTTGTTTTTTTTTTTTTTGCTTTTTTTTTTGTTTTTTTTTTTTGTTTTGATTTGACAAAGATATAAAATTAAAGAAATTAACAACTAGTCAAAAGCAATATACACACTAAGAGTTGACAAATACATGCATTATTTTCATCATAGGCTATTCAAAAGGCTCATTGGGTAAAAGTTTAAGTTCATACTAATTTATTTTTAAAAGTAAAATAATCTTTTTTTTTTTAACAGAATGATAACTATTCTAATTTTTTTATTTTTTTAAAATAGGTTCAGAATGATAACTATTCTAATTTTTTTTTATTTTTTTTTTAAATAGGTTTGATAAATAGAATGAAATAGAAATTCCCTCCCCACACTTATTTCAAACATTGTCCGCAATGTGGAGAACAACACTTATAAGAGGAACACAAACAACATGAAAATCAAGGAGATAGGGAAAGAGAATTGGGTTGCCTACCAATAGCGCTTTAGTTATTGTCAGTAGCTAGACATGGGCATTCAGAGTCCTGCAATTCTACCCGTTCAACAATCAGGGCGGAGGGTTCACCCTCAAGGTACTGCTTTAGTCTTTGCCCATTTACCTTAATTTTTTCACCTGTTTCTGGATTTTCAATCTCACATGCACCATGAGAAAACACCTCACGTACCACAAAAGGCCCTGTCCATCTAGATTTTAACTTACCTGGAAACAATCTCAAACGAGAATTAAATAGCAAAACTTTCATAATTAAATAGCAAAACTTTCATCCCAGGTTCAAAATTTTTTCTCAAAATAAACTTATCATGATAAACTTTAGTCCTCTCTTTATAGATTTTTGAGTTTTCATAGGCTTCATTCCTTATTTCATCTAATTCATTCAAATTCAATTTTCTTATTCCACCAGCCCTCTGCAAATCAAAATTTAGGAATTTAATAGCCCAATAGGCTTTGTGTTCTAACTCTACTGGCAAATGACAAGCCTTGCCAAATACTAACCTGTATGGGCTCATACCAATTGGGGTTTTGTAGGCTGTCCTATAAGCCCACAACGCATCATTCAGCTTAATGGCCCAATCCTTCCGAGAAGGATTCACTGTTTTTTCTAAAATTCCCTTGATTTGTCTGTTACTCACCTCGACTTGGCCAGAGGTTTGTGGATGGTACGGAGTAGCCACTTTATGAGTAATGCCATATTTTTTTAGAAGACCTGCAAAAAGTTTATTACAGAAGTGGGTACCTTCATCGCTAATAATAGCTCTGGGTGTCCCAAACCTGGCAAAAATATCTTTTACGAATTTCAAAACAACCTTACTGTCATTTGTCCTAGTGGCTACAGCTTCAACCCATTTTGACACATAATCAACAGCCACAAGAATGTAATTAAAACCAAAGGATGTAGGAAAAGGCCCCATGAAATCAATTCCCCAAACATCAAAGAGATCAACAACCAAAATATTCGAAAGGGGCATTTCATGACGCTTACTTATATTACCAGTCCTCTGGCACCTGTCACACTTAGCACAAAATTCAAATGCATCCTTGAACAAAGTAGGCCAATAAAAACCAGATTGCAAAACTTTTAATGCAGTTTTTTTCCCACTAAAATGTCCTCCGCAATTTAAAGTGTGACTGTGATTCAAAATATTTTGCTGTTCAAACTCAGGGATACATCTTCTAATTATTTGATCAGGACAAATTTTAAACAAGTAAGGTTCATCCCAAAAGAAATATTTTGCTTTGGAGAGAAAATGTTGTTTTCTTTGTGAATTTAAGCCTGGGTGAAATTGACCCGAGACTAAATAATTCACAATATCTGCATACCAAGGCTCTTTATTATGTAAGGAGAGCAACTGTTCACCCGGAAACCTGTCATTGATAGGAATATTAACATCATGACAATTATTAGCTACTTCGGGTAAACGAGACAAATGGTCAGCTACCACATTCTCGCACCCTTTTTTATCCTTGATTGTTAAATCAAATTCTTGCAACAACAAAATCCATCTTATTAGTCTAGGTTTTGCATCTTTTTTAGCCAACAAAAATTTCAGAGCAGAATGATCAGAATAAACAATCACCTTAGAACCAATTAAGTAAGAACGAAATTTTTCTAATGCAAAGACTATAGCCAACAACTCCTTTTCAGTAGTTGTATAGTTAGCCTGAGCACTATCCAAAGTTCTACTTGCATAATGAATCACATAAGGCATTTTATTAATTCTTTGTCCTAACACAGCACCTACGGCATAATCAGATGCATCACACATTATTTCAAAAGGAAACTCCCAATTAGGTGCCGCAAGAATGGGAGCAGCAGTTAATTTTTCTTTCAAAAACTTAAAAGCAGAAAGGCAATCATCATCAAATTTGAAAACAACATCTTTTCCCAGCAAGTTGCATAAAGGCCTGCAAATTTTTGAGAAATCTTTTATGAAGCGCCTGTAGAAACCTGCATGACCAAGAAAACTTCGCACTTCTTTCACAGATGTAGGGGGAGGTAATTTAGAAATAACTTCAATTTTAGCCTTATCTACCTCTACTCCCCTGTCAGAAATTATATGCCCCAAAACAATGCCCTCTTTAACCATGAAATTACTTTTTTCCCAACTCAAGGTTAAGTTCATTTTAACACATCTTTCAAGCACAGAAGATAAATGAGCAAGACAATCATCAAAAGAATCACCGAACAGAGAAAAATCATCCATAAACACCTCAACATATCGTTCAATCATATCAGAAAATATTGACATCATACACCTTTGAAAAGTCGCAGGTGCATTACACAACCCAAATGACATTCTGCGGTAAGCAAACGTGCCAAAAGGGCATGTAAATGTCGTTTTTTCTTGATCTTCAGGTGCAATAGGAATCTGAAAATAACCTTGAAATCCATCAAGGAAACAATAATAAGCATGTCCAGCTAATCTTTCTAACATTTGGTCAATAAAGGGCAAAGGGAAATGATCTTTTTTAGTGGCGGCATTTAATTTTCTATAATCTATGCACATTCGCCACCCCGTCACTGTTCTAGTTGGGATTAATTCATTTTTGTCATTAGTAACCACAGTAATCCCAGATTTTTTTGGCACTACATGAACTGGACTTACCCACTTACTATCTGAAATTGGGTAAATAATACCTGAGTCAAGCAACTTTAGGACTTCTGCACGTACAACCTCCTTCATATTTGGATTCAACCTGCGTTGAGGTTGGCGGACAGGAGTTGCCCCTTCTTCAAGAAGGATCCGGTGCATACAAACCGTCGGAGTTATTCCTTTAATATCGTCTACTGTCCAACCAATTGCACTTTTATATTTTTTTAATACCACTAGTAGGCTTGTTTCTTGCTCATGTGAAAGGTTAGAAGCAATTATTACAGGAAAAGTATTATTTGGACCTAAGAAAGCATATTTTAAAGAATTAGGAAGGGGTTTCAGTTCAAGCTTGGGTGGAACTTCAGCTTCAATTGAAGGATGGAGTTTTTCCTTAATTTGCTCCAAACAGCCTGTAACTGAACCTCCTTCACCACTCCCCTCTTTTATTGTGCTTTGGCTGGATTCCACTTCATCAGCCTCAATCTCTTCGACCTTCAACAGATATTCATCTAGTAACTCAGCAGAAATTATTGAATCTAAAACATTTACAGCAAAGCAATGACTATTATCGTTTTCAGGCAATTTCATTGATTTCAGAATTGAAAATTCAACAGTTTCATCAAGAACAGTCATAGTTAATTTTCCATTTTGGACATCAATCATCGTTTTTGCTGTGGCCATGAATGGTCGGCCAAGCAAAATAGGCATGTCCTGCTCGTGATTACACTTTTTATTTATGTCTAAAACAACAAAATCAGCAGGAATTATTAATTTATCAACTTGGACCAAAACATCTTCTACAATGCCCCTAGGATATCTAACAGAGCGATCAGCAAGCTCGAGGGACATTGTAGTAGATTTCAATTTATCTAGACCTAATTGCAAGTAGACAGAATATGGCATCAAGTTAATGCTGGCCCCTAAATCAAGCATTGCCTTTTCTTTTTTAGAATTCCCCACAGTAATAGTTATTATGAAACTACCGGGATCTTCTAATTTTGGGGGCAAGTCAGTTTGTAAAACAGCACTCACAGTTTTAGACATGAAAACTTTTTCATTATGTGCATACCTACGTTTTCTGGTGTTTAGTTCTTTCAAAAACTTAGCATAAGCAGGCATATTTTTAATCATGTCTAACAAAGGCAAATTCACGTTCACTTTTGACAACAAATCATAAATTTCAGCAAATGATTTATCAAATTTTGAATTTTGCAATCTACCAGGAAATGGAACTGGGGGAACATAAGACTTAGGGGGCACATAAGGATTATCAGATTTATGCAGTTGGGGTTCATCCTTATTATTATTATCATCAACATGCAACTTTTCAACTATTTCAGCTGGTTCAGAAGTGGTATTTGCTTTCACACTTTTTTCAATAACTTTACCACTTCTTAAAACAGTCAAAACTTTAGCTTCTTCAGGTTGACTAGGTAACTTACCTGGCACATGGCCTTGCATAGCTTCTGCGAGTTGCCCCACTTGAACTTCCAATTTTCTTAGGGAAACCTCATTTCTTGCAAGTGAAGCCTCATTTTGTTGGAACCGTTTCTCATCTGCCTCCGACCGTTTATTGCAAACCTGTATATAATTTTGCAATGTATCCTCCAAAGATGGTTTTTTTGGTTGAGGTGGAGCAATTGGTTGAAAATTATTTTGATTATTGCCCCAAGAAAAGTTAGGGTGATTCCTCCACCCCGGATTATAAGAGTTAGAATACGGGTCGTTTCTAGGCCTTTGATTAAAATTGTTCATCGCATTAGCCTGTTCGAAACAATCATTTTCTCCAATCATATATGCAGTACTTTGTTTCGTAGCCAGCATAGAACACAAGTTATTCATTTTTTCATCCATCGCAGACATTTGAATCTTCAAATCAGTAATTGAATTAACTTCATACATACCTGATGTCTGTCCCCTTACGCTCTTTTGTTGGGAGTTCGCTCCTAGCATTTCATACAATGCTAAGGTCTCCTCCGCAGTTTTTTCTCCCATGGCACCTCCAGCCGCATTATCAACAATTGATTGGCTGGTTTGGGTCAAACCATCATAAAAGGTTTGATTTTGCAGCTCCAATGGGTAGCCATGGTGGGGGCATTGAATGAGCAACATTTTGAACCTTTCCCATGCCTCATGGAACGGTTCGCCTTCAGCTTGCGAGAAATTCGCAATTTTTCTCCGTAATTCAGAAGTTTTAGCATGAGAATAAAACTTACCTATGAACTTATTGTAAACCTCCGGCCATGTCCGAAGGGATCCAGGTGTTAGAGACATGAACCATTGTTTTGCTGCATCTTTTAAAGTGTACGGGAACCACCTCTTCCTTAGTTCATCTTCTGGCAGGTCATTCAATGGAAAGTTTTGGACTACCCCGTAAAAATCCCGGACGAAGGTAAGGGCATCCTCGGTTGCTAAACCATGAAAAGATGGCAACTGATTGTAATGGATCGTTTTCAGCTCATAATTCCTGGCTGCATTGGTAAGCACTATACAAGAAGGTGAAGTTCCTACTTGGGGCCTACCAAAGTCTTTCATCAACCTAGGAACGGGCCTAGGGTTGGGGTTGGGTGGAGGAAGTTCAGCCATGGTTGTTACTTGTGGTTCTAAAGGTAAACTATTTTTCTTTTTTCTATTGATGCGATCGTCTAAAGGCAATAGTTCAGGGTTTAAAGAACGGCGACCATGCATAAAATAAATAGATAAATGAATGAACGAATAAAATAGCAAAAACAAGTAAATAAATTAATATTTTGACTAAATAAAATAAGCCAGCAAATAAAGAATCAAGATAATCAAGATAGGTAAAGCAAAAAGCAAATTAAAAATAAATGTTATAAGTAGTATTGAGCAAAGGAAAATAAACCAAATAAACAAATTGCACAATAAAAAAACGAGGAAGAACAAGAAAATAAATTGCAAAATAAACAACTTCCCCGGCAACGGCGCCAAAAATTGTTGGACAATTTTTAATTAAATGTCCTCGCAAGTGCACGAGTCACTGTAGTAATAGGGTGCAATAGCAAGGGTCGAACCCAAGAGGAATTGATAATATGCAATTTATAATCTTAAAATTAATTAACTTGATAATTTTAACATGCTAGAAACGAATATCAAATATAAGAATCAACTCAATTGCAAAACAATTAAAATCAATGCTTCAAAAGCTAAAAATTGAGTAATTGAAAAGCTAATCAGAATGAACAAGAAATTGCTACTGACAATTAAACAAAGTTTAGTTAAAATGTAAAGTACTAATTACGAGTGCAGAAAGTGGTAATTAAAGCTTAGAAATTTGGCATAAAAAACTAACAGTTAACACTACCAGCTTCATTATCAATGGTAATCTCAATTAACAACCGTACTTAAACCTTCAGCATTATAATTAACAAAATACTTAGCATTAAGCACTGTGATCAAGACTTGTTATTAAATATGCAATTAAGCTCTACATTCAAAGTTTTGAATTAAGAGATTTCCAATCACAAATAAAGAGCAGATTAAGGAAAAGAATGGGAGCAGATGAAATCAATACTTTAACTCTTACTTAGCATTAAGCATGGTAATTAGCACATGGTAATTTGCACTATCACTTAAATAGTCTGTAGTTAACAAATGAAAATAAAGGCTAACTTTGTTGCTAACAATTACGAAACCAATACGCCCAGATTAAGGAAAAAGAAATAAAGAAAGAAGGAAAATAAAGAAAGAACCAGTATATGGAATTGAATGCGCTCAAACTAAACTCCTTTCGCTGCAAACCAGAGTTCGCCGACCAGAATTGCGGCGAACCACTAGAAATCCCGAAATCTCCGAACGGCCGTTGGGTGAAGAGTTTTGGGGATTAGATTGGTGATGAAGAATGGTGATGATGACGAATGAATTTTGTGTAGGTCGGTGCTCCCCTGGCTTCTTCGGAATTGCTTCTATTTATATTGTCTGGACTCAACGATTTCTTCCAATCTTCCGCTATTCATTCGGATCGCCGGAAGAATTGATTTGCAAAATATGGTTCTGGTCTTCTAGGAGCTCTGCGCCTTTCTCTCGTAGGAATTGACTAGCTAATATAATCTATCTATTAAATACTAATAATAATAATAATAATAATAATAATCTACAGGCAATAAACTATTAAACTGACAATTATAATAATAAAACAAACTTAATAACAAAAACAACCCAAAATTAAACAATATTAGTAAAGCTAAAAAAATATAAAATTAATAAATAAAATTGATATAAAATAAATAAATTATTGCAACTTAACTATTAAAGATTATTTAAAATAATAATAAAAATAATGTTTATCAACGGTCCCGCAGCACCCTACCTCATATCGAAGCATGAAGGGGTTGATCGCAACCAACCGTATAGACCGTCGATAGTTTTAACGGCGGATCACAGCCCTACACACCGCTGACACGCTCAGTCGGTGGACTGTGATCCTCTTTTGGGGACTACGACCCTACACACCGCTTGACGAGCTCAGTCAGTGGGTCGTAGCTGATCAAAGCCCTACACACCGCCTGAGGGACTCATTCGGTGGGAAATGATCTTTGAGGACTATGACCCTACACACCGCTGGCACATACACTCGGTGGATCGCAGCCGACCATAGCCCTACACACCGCCTGATCACTCATTCGGTGGACTATGGCCTTCCTCGGGCTAGTGGCCCTACACACCGCCTGGCGCGTCCAGTCGGTGGACCATAACACACGACGCCCATGTGGACCGCAGCCCAAGAAGTGAATCACTGACCGCAGCCAAGAGAATGAACCGCAGCTCATGAGTAACCAATTTGACCGCAGCCAACTTCTGAACCGCTGCTCAGGAATAACCAATTTGATCGCAACCAAATTGGGTATCATGCTCACATAACACATAGTAACACATATTAGCACATCGGGAAGGGGGAAAGCGTATAAATAAACTTATGCATGATCGTCCACATACTAAGAATAATCCTATGGGGTATATGCATCTTCCTCCTAGGCCAACGGGTTACCAATTCAACTAGCATGCAATACATAAGACTGTTTTATCCTACGAATGGTACCCGAAACATCAAACTAGACACATGCACGATAAACGGAGTCCGTTAGGACACCACGAGGGACGGGGAGACATCAAACGGGGAAGCCAAAGTCCCGAGGTGGGCAACAACCAGCGGGTAGCCGGTGGGCAGAGGGCTACCGCCGGCTGCCCGCCGGTGATGAACCTCCGGGCAGAGGGTGCCCGGCGGGCAGTCGCCTGCCCGGGCAGCCGGCGGCGTCATTTTGGGCAGCGGGTAGGTGGCGGGTCCCCCTACCCCCACCTACCCGCCACTGACTCTTTTCTAAAATATAAGTCCCGGGATCCTCCGTGGAACCCGAAACCATGCTTAGGCACTTTTAAACACAAATAACGACACCACATAGACAATTAATAAATCAAAAGCAAGAATCACATAGAACACATCCTATCATGACTTCTAAACATAAACAACACCCAAACATGCGAATTCCCACCCAAATATATATCAAAAACATCACAATACAAATTCCCAATTCAACCTAGGGCTCTAATCCCATTCAAATCATCAAAGTCATAGTTTATCTTTAACATTAAGAAACATCGAGATTTATCAAGAATCATCACACAAACATCAAGAACCTCTTATCATCATCAAGATCATCAAGATCACACATAAAATCATCCCATCAATCATCATGATTATATCACAATTATCATAAAGGGTTTCATGAAGACACAAGCATATTGAAGGACCCAAAGAAGCAGATTATAGCAAGGAAAATAGGTTTTGTTGAGACATGGGTTACCTCTTAGCCTTAATTAAATTCCTTGGCTACGAAGGGTCTTTCTTTAAGATCTCTTCTTTCTTGATTTCTCCTATGGGAATCCTTGGGGATTATTGTGTGGTGAAAGTTATTGTGGTGTGTATTCTAGGTACCTCCTATGCCCCCTATTTATATATCTAAGAGTCCCAATTAGGGTCTAAATGGTATGGGTTTGCTAATTCTATTCCTTATAGGACTAAGAGATTGGTTTTAGGGATAAGGGTCCATGGACTATGGTGGACCCTTATTTATTAATTGATGGAATTTAATTCTTTCTTTTGGGTGATTGATTAAATAATTAATTGGTTTAGAGGTCGTAACACGGGGTGTTACAGTTGCTATAGTCTTGATGATTTGTTTTTTGCTCCCTCATTCGCCATTCGTTTATCTCTTCTAAAGATTCAAAATTATAGATAATTGTGTCATTCTCTCTCGTTGTTATTTTTCCATTCCCTTTTTTTTTTTGTGTAAACTGTAACCCTTAGCCCCATTACAAGCTTAATAAAGACCTATTTGATCTTTGCATGAAATTTTAGTTCTATACAGGAGGAGTAGGAAAGGCAAGCCTATGATGTTTTTCTGGTTTGCTGCATAAACCTAACTGAGTACATGTGCACACTAGATTTCTCATTACTAATAATCTTGGTGCTTGTATATTGACTTGGGAATGGACCGCGTGTGCCACACAAAGATGATTTTGGACGCATGTGTCTTGCAGTGAGTTGGCTTGTGGTTTGCTAAGTTGTGCACGAGAAAGTGGGAGTGATTTTTAGTGTTTTGACCTGTAGTTTTGCTTAGTTGTTTTGCTTGAGGACAAGCAAAGTCTTAAGTGTGAGGGGGTGATGTTATCACATTTATGCATGTTCTTATAGCTATTTTGATTCATCTCAGTAATAAAGTTATTTAATCGTGCCAATTTAATAATTGTTTTCCTCACTTTCTCGTAGAATAAGTTTCACACTTGTTTTGAACGTCTTACGGTGTTTGGTAGTGTTCTTTCACCATTACAGGCTAAGT